ACTGCTTTATGAATTTGAAGCCAGTGCCAAGCTGAATTCTCCTGCAGTGCCCAGCCTGTTAGACGAAGTGGTGGCGCTTCCACAGGTGGAGATCAAGACTCTGGAAACCATTGCTGGTAAGAGCCAGGCCTGCTCCCCCTGCTACCCTTCCTGAGGAGGGGGGGGGGGATCTTGCATTTCAAGGCAGCTGCTTCAAATGAGAACTGCTGCTTCCGTGACTCTCGGGCAATGAAGCCAGTTGCCACAGCAAAAATGGAGTTGAAGCTTCTGGGATCCCCACCCATCGCTGTTGTGCTTACAGCCTTTTTCTCTGAGCAGCAGCCCTGCAGTGTTGTGAAAGGGCAGGTGCCCAGTGGATTGAAAGGTGTCTCTTTTTCCCATGACTTCTTCCTCAAGCGTTGGCCATGGAATCTCCCGCTCACTATCCATCCGTGTGCAAGAGGGCTCTCAAGGTGGTCTTGACTCTCCTTAGGAAAGGTGAATCGATGGATACAATCACCTACAGGTAAGCAGAGGTACTGAGAAGCAGCTGGGCGCATAAGGAGCATTTATCCTGGCTGCGTGGATGGAGGACAGGCCTAGGGAGAGAGGATGGCTGTTGCAGGTAAAATTCTTATTTCTTCTCAAGAAAAAAAGTCTAGGGATGCCTTCCTCACTCGGGACATTCACGGTTGCTTCTTTCTGAAAAGGAGCACCTGCTTTTTCCTTCCCTGTTGTTGAAGGTCCCAGGTTGGGGGGAGGGGAGGGCTGGACAGGCCTGACCCAGCAAGAGTTGCTAAGAGCCAGCTAGCACCAGGTTGCTTGCCGGGATGAGATTTGGATGCCTTGCAAAGTAGGCAGAAAGAAGGTACCCCACAGATGCTTTCCTCAGGCCTGTCCTTTCATTGTATTTCACGCTCAGCAAGTGCCTGCACAGCCTGGTCCAGCTTTCTCTGCCATCCGGCCCGATTGAGGCAGATCTTTGCGTGCTGGAGGAGGCCTGGGCCTATTTTGAAGATGCTCTGTCCATACTGGACAACACAGTTAGTATCACGCAGCTTCTTTCTGTGACTGCGGCCTTTCCATGGGTCTATTGAGAGTCTGCCAGATGGGCGTTTTGATAGAAGAGAATATTTGCCTGGCTCTTCCTGTTAACATCACAGGCTGAGGTGGATGAGAACAACATCCTCTTGGTGGGCCCCACTTCTGTCCAGGCAGTTAAATGAGGCAATTGATGTGTTCACATATCCAGCAGCATTAAAGCAAAATACAGCTGTATATGTTTTTGCCTTCTTAAAACTAAGCTTGGACTAAAAGCTGCGATATATTCCTTTGAACGTCAGCAGGGGCTACAGGCTAATTACCCAGAGGTGGAGATAATCTGGCTTATGACTAGAGCTTGGAACACAGGAATATACCAGTACTCTGCTGGCAAATACAAGGAAGCAGAGCAATGGTGTGGCCTAGGAATACGGTTCTTGGCCTACTTGGGGACTCTGAAGAACAGCTACGAGAATCAGGTGAGGGTGGGCGGACGGACGAGTAGAGGACTTAATCACACCCAGGGCACCCTCTGAAACGGCCCATCGCACAGGAGGACAAACACACGACTGGGGAGGAAACTGCTTACTGAGATTTAGCATCAAGTGGGGAGTAGGGGATTTCAGTCCCATGGGTTTGATTCCAAAGATTTGTTACAGGGATGCAAATACCTCACTCTGAAACTAAAAGGGCCGCCGTCCTTCCCCAGAGCAGCGACAGCCTCTTCCTAAGCAGCCCTTTGAAAGGAGTCTGAGGCACTGCAAAGACACGGGAGGCAGCATTTAACACACAGTCCTTGTTTTAGTGGGCCTGTTGCTTCCCCCAGCTCTGCTAGCTGTTTCCACTAATGGAAGGGCTGAGCTGCACAGCACTCCTCAGCCTATCCTGCCGATTTGTTAAAGATTTAGGTGACCTTTGTCCACAGATGATCGGTGTTTACGGTGAGGTGCTGGACAAAGTGGACAAAGCAAAGAGACTCCATTCCAAAGAAGAGTGACGGGGACGGTGGCCACCAGCAGTGGCCCTGCGCTGAACGGAACTGGCTGCATACAGGTCGTCACTGGCAAGTGGAATTGTAGGCACTATTCAGGGGAGGATGTTTCACAAACATGAAGTTGAATAAAGCAGTTCTAATTGTTTGCAAACATATTTCTCTTCCCTTGTGTATTTTTTATAGTTACATTTATATTGCCAATTTTTTTCTTGGAAGCTCAAGGCAGTCTACACAAGCAATCTACCCATTTTGCCCTAATGAAATAGGCTCCACAAATGGAGCAGAATTTAAGTTCAGATCTAAAGTTCAGCTTCTTATCTAGTGTATCACATATGCCTAACTGATCTCATTAACACAGCTATGAAGGCAGTTCCTCAAGCATGCAGAGACCATTGTATTACTATTAGTAGGCAGTTGTCTACTGGGTTGTAGACACACCTGCACTGCAAGGTGAATAACCATGCTACATTGCAGCATTTGTCACAACTTCTAGTTTTGCAAGAACTACATTTATTGTGTAGCGAATGGCTTGAGAGAAACTCCACTAAAGGTTAGAAAGTAACAGTAAAAAGAATCCAGCAAAATAGCCTTAAAAGAGGATTCCAAAACTGTATGGAGGGAGCACTAATGAATGGCTTTGGATTAATATTCCTGGTCCATGAAGCCCTACAAGATAACCCCCCTCTCAAACCAAGGACCTCCCAAGAAAACAGCAGCAGACGAGTTCATTGCAATGTTCATTTATTAAAAATATATGTCTCCTTGGAAGAAACACTGGTAAACCCACTAGTGTCGTGATTGGATACTTTCAGCTACGCCACGGAGGAGGCAGGCCCTTCCTCCATGAGCCTAGAAGAGTGACCGGCTATTACAAAATAAAAGTCATCGGAGCCTGGAGAAGAGCCACCTCGAGAGCTGTTTCTATTTATGCATAGTCCGGTTCTTCGGAACATGTCTTGAGACACCAGCTGAGCAGAGGAAGTCGGTGGTGGCCTCTCCCAAATCCTCCCACCAGGGATTCTCGTACCCGACAGCGGCTTCCTCCCGATTCTTCAGTCCTACCAACGAACAGCAGCTCCGGTCCTTCCAAAGTTCCACTTGACATTTTTGCAACACAGCTGATGTGGAAATGGCTTCTCGCTTACCAGAATGAATCTCCGCAAGATGAGAGTTTTCACCCATGTTTAACAATGAAGGCCGTGCACAAATCACACAATGAATGATACAGCTACCTACCAGCTATGGAGCGGACAGCATCAACCTGCTACAAGCCGAGGCCTCGTCCCACCCAAGGAATTAGGACTGGGACAACTCGGATCTCCTACCGTAGCAGCCGTGGCTCTCGCTCCATGGAAACAAGATGTGTACAATCACCTGTTTCAAACTTTTGAGATTGGGGCAAGATGACAAAAGTGGGCAAATCTTCTCCTTTGGCCCCCCAGGCAAGGGTTTGCACCAATCTAGAAACACTTGAAAACTCCACCCAGAACTTTCACAAATCCAACTTACTCTCGTTTGGTAATAAAAAAAAATCTTTTTGCACCTACAGTCTACACATCGACATGACCACAAACCAGGGCTTCCCATTAGCAGCTAGCCGCAGTCCATGGAAGACTAACAGTCTGTGCCACACAGAGAGCTTGTTCTCAGTTGCACTGGCCCTTTGCTATCCTGAAGAATTGCAAGCAGATGTCGGCAGCGAGGAACGGCTGGGGCCCATCTCTGCAACGAGGATCATGTAGAAACACAAAATAAGATGGAGGGTGCTATTCTTCACGGAGCCTCTAAGGATTAGCTTGGTCAGAAGGGCTTCAAGTGTTGCAACCAGAATTTGGCACAATTCTGCTAGAATAAGAACTTTCCAGGTTCTTAAGTCAATTTTCCACTGAAAACCTGGTTGAAAGAGTGACCCTCCAAGGCACAAGCTTCTCTTCACACCCCCTGCTGCATCCAGCTTCTCACTGCACAGAACAACTCAATGCTCTTCCACAGAACAAGTCGGTGGTGGGATGGAGTCGAGTCTCTACGAGTAACCTGACTGCAACACAAAACAGCCGCTGTGCTCATTCCACACGGTCTGTAGGTTGGGTCTGGAAACTATTTACAATGGAACAATCTTAAAAAATAAGTTAAAAAACTGGATTGTATACCCGTTCAGTTCATTATTAAAATCAAAAGCTTGGAATAATGAAAAGCCAACACACCAACACAAACATGATTTTGGTTTAACAGCAGCTTAAAAAAACCTCTCATGCAAACACATCAGGTGACATAAAACAATGTGCAGTTAATATGAAGCATTATCCTTTTGCTTTTGCGTGCTCAAATAAATTGTTGTAACTTGTTGTGTGGTTCTGGGCCCTCTGCTTGCTCCATAATCACAGTGCTGGCTTCTCTCTTTCCAAATGCAGAAATCGGTTTTGGAAGAACCACAAAACAGCACCCCCAAATGCTCCGTACCATTCAGCTCACCTCCAACCACAGCAGTTTCTGTCCCAATGGCTGAGGCAAGGCAGCAATTCTTTCGCCTACAAAGAACATTTCAGCAGCCCCCTCGTGCTCTCTAGTCTCATATATATATACATATATATATATACATATATGACTATGTTCAGAACATTCTCTAGTCATGTATATGTATATATTTAGAGCATATATTATATATATAAAATTACATATCTAGATAAATAAAAGCATTCTGTTGCCTTTTCTTCTTGGTAAGGTTGACAGGCTGCCAGTCTCCATTACACCTAGAGGGGCAAAAACTGGCCACGTCTGCTGCATCCGTGGCTCTTGAGGCTAGTGGTCAACTGCCACCTCCTACCTTGCTTTTTGACTTCAACAGTTGATGTATTTTCTTAATTAAAAACACAGAAAACTCTCAAATGGGGTTTGTCTCCATTTCTAGGGGAGCAGCAGGATAGTCCATGCAGGAATGGTGGGGGACAGTCACTTGATGAAGGAGACTGGTCCATCCCAAGAAAAAGAAAAACAGGACTAGAAAACGCAATTGTCAACCATCTAGAAAAGGGACGGGGTGGTCTTCTCGCTCCCCCTCTGGGGCAGAGGGCGGGGAAAGGGTCGCGGATCTTCTAATAGGTTGATTGGAGGGCGGGGGACATCACAGTTTCTCAGAGGATGGGATCCAGATATAATGCCCAGATTGGTCCTCTATTATCTGTTTGATTTTACTGTAAATCTCTTCCAGGGAGTCTCCTTGTACAATGGCTATGGAAATAAAACAGGATGAGTTTACTAGAGAAGAAGGGTCCTACTTCCTTCCCCCACCACCAAGGGGCAGCTTACTGCCTCCTTAGAAGCTGCAAGCAATTAAACTGATCTTGCATTATTGACCCGTTTTTAATCTACATGAAAATCTATTTTGCCCACTCCTTCCAATTCCTGCAAAGGTGAGCTCCCCTCACAAGCTCACCAGAACAACCCAACAGAACTCTCACCTGTAAAGTACTCTCCAAACTCCTGCTCCAGCTTCATGGCTTTGTCAAAGACCTTGTTGGCCTGCTCGTACGTTTGCCTCCGGTTCATCTCCCTGCAGGCCCAGAAAAAGAAAAAAAACAGCGTCAGGACAAAAGCCTCTACTCCGACAGGAGCTTCTCTGCTTCTGCCACTGTCTGAAATCTGGCTTTTCCTCCTGGATTGCTAGGGAAATGGCGCAAAGCACCTCGGCATCTCGACTCCACCTGAAGAGACAGGTGGAGGGCAAGCGGGAGGGCTGCGGTCATGGAGAGAGTTTACGGCTTCTGGACGGTGCGGAGGCCGCGGAGAAACTGAGACTGGCAATTCTGAGAGCCGAGGGCAGGAAAAGGTATCCCAAAGTAGATTTTAAACCCACCTGCAGCAAAATAACTTCTGATAATCGAAAAGGGGAGAGTTGGATGCACTAAGTGGACAAAAACCCATTACTGACCTGACCACGGTCCATTTGGCAAGAGCTGCCCAAAACCCACATCCCCATGTCCATCACTAAACCTCCCCCTCGGAGACGTCCGACAAGACCTGTCTCCATCACTAAAGATGCAGGCCTGCCCCCTGCCGAGCCTCCCCTGCAGCAGACAGGGGGTCGGGGGGGGGGCTCCCCTTTCCACAGGGGCTGCTCCACCCTGACTCACGCCCTCAGAGGTCGCATTCAGGTAAGCGAATTAATGCTTTTATTTATAAACCACCCAGAGTCAGACAGTGAGACGGGAGGGGTATAAATTTGATGAATAAATAAAAATAACTAAATTGCTAATCTCCATGTTACTCACATGAGCGCTTCGATGGATTTGGGCTTGATGAAAATCGCAACTGGGTAGAGTTGTGCTTGCTGCAATCTTTTGATCGCGTTGCCCGACACATCGAGGATACAATGCTTCCCCTGGAGGAGGGCAGGGGATCCGTTATTACGCAGCCTTTGCGCAGCACTCTCAAGAAGCTTTGCCACCGTCCCCACCCCAAACTCAACAGGAGGACCACAACCCAAAGCAGCCGAGATGCCAGCAGATAACGCCTACTAGGTGGCCGGTTTATTTACACTGTTTTAGAATTTAAATGAGATTGTGGCTTAAGGTCATCACCATGTATGCATCAACTCCTGCATGAAATAGCAGCAGCAGCAGCTTCAAAACAAGCTGATCCAAAACCCGGCATAAACCAGCCATAAACCTGCTGCTTGGTTTGACAGTGGACACAATACGGGTAATTCGTGAACTGAACGATGCCACAAGTCCTGAACAGCCATTTGGCCACGCGGTATTTTGACCAAGAATGATGCAGCCCCTGGTGCCGGACTCACCCGCTCAGCCACCGCCCGCACAGACTGGACACTGGTTCCATAGAGATTGTCGTTGAACTGCCCAGCTTCAATAAATTTGCTGTCTTGAATGTCCTTCTCCATCTGCTCCCGTGATGCCACAAAGTGGTAATCTTGTCCGTCAACTTCATTTTCACGCCGTGGCCTGGTAGTGTCTGAAAGAAAATACGTTTGCTTTTTCTGTGGCTCAGAGAACAGCCTGGCTGACCTTGACCGTATAGCTTGGCCTTTAACTTCTGCTACAAAAAAAGGATCAACCGATCGATGTGAACGCTCACTCTCTTCTCCACAAACACCCAGAGCACGAGGCCTAAAGCATCACTCTGGAAGACATACGTGTCCCTTAAAACATCCTCCCCCCAAACACAAGAGAGCCATTTCTTACGAGGCACACAGGATCCAAACTTGTGTGGAAATTCTGAGATGAGGTCATCGTTGACTCTGTCTTTCATGGGCCCCAAAACAATCACTGGCCTGGCGTAGTGAACTACAAAGATAGTCAAAAAGACAAGGAGGAGTTTTGGAGATCAGTCGCTGCTCAGCTCTGAAGTTCAAAGCTAATCAGGAAAAATAACATGCAGATCTAAGATGCCCTCCAGAAAGATGAGGATGGACCAGCCTTTTTTGCAACTTACTTTCTTGCCTTGTCACAGGTTCGTATGACAGAATTGTGTCCTCTTGTCCTTCTGAAAGAATTGGAAAGAATCAGCTGGCCTTGCAGCAACAACTCCCCACCTCACTGCCCAATGGCAACTACTATTAATTTCTGAGACCTTAAACCTCCCTGACACTTTCACTTTTCCTTAGCCATCAGGGAGAAGTAAAGGTTTCCCTCCGTTATAGGCATATTTTCCACTCGGCTCAATCTTTGGGGAAACGTCGCCGAGGGGACTCCCATTTATAGCAGCCCTAAAGACCAGGGATTGATAGCTCAGCAACCTAATTGGAACTCACTCCTGTTCAAAGAGCTTCTCTTCCTTAGTTAGTAGATCAGATCAAATGACAGGCAGAGATTGGGGGGGTTCAAGAGGGCTTCTGTACCAATGGAAACGGGGTATAAATCCCACATCTGATCCAAAGTCCCTTATCTACTCTTTTGGACTTTAGTCAACCATATGAGTAAATGGGGGCAAAGCTCAACATCTAAATGAAATAAGGTACTATTCAGGCTTTAGTCTCTGCTACTTGAAATCAATCCATTTTACCCGACTGACTGACTTACGCAAGGCTCCAATCCAGCGCTTGGAACCAACCAAAAGGAGCCATCGATCCAAAGAACAGACTGAGACCCCGGCAGCTCTGACTAAACCCGACCCCCAGCACTGGGACGAAGGCAGAAGGAAACTGGGGTTGGGACAAACTAGGGATACTTACTGGAACTGCTCTCGCTGTCACTGGTGTTTGATGTCACACCCTCTGCAACCAAGAAAGAGGCCTGGATTTAATATGCACAGATTGACAGCAGGGGACCAGCTGTTGATGGCCACAAGTACTGGGGACGGGGGGGGGGAGAGGAGTACAAGGCCCTCTGCTTCGGTGCATTCTTGGATGGGAGCCTAGCAGATCCACTCCACTCAGGAAGTAACTACTTGTAGTTGTGGACCGCCTGCCCAAACGAGACTCCAGCAGGGCCTATTAGCTGTCTCCCTCCATCACCCTCTCCAGCAGGCATAGGAGAGCAGCTCAGGCACAAGCAGGGCGGAAGCACACAAACAGCCCTGCTCCTGGCCGGCTCCCCTTTGTCCCCCGAGAGCGCAACCCGCCACTGAGAGTTACAGAGAAGGGGAGAGAGGAGGGGAGGGACTGGAGAGCAGACAAACGACAGTAAAGAAACGACAGGGCTGCCCAACTGAGGTGTTCCCATTCTGACAGTAGGGGAGAAAAGGCGTTCACACACCCAGGGTAAACACAGCAAAGTTCAAGGATCTAATCTGGGGGAGGGAGTTTCCTGATACGTGCCCGGCCCAATTTCTTTCCTTGGCTGGCACCTGGCTGTAAGGGCGATCCCAGCCTTTCTCCTGGCCAACGCACTGCACTGCTGGGGAGCCCTTTCCCGGAAGAGGCTCCTAAGACCCATCGGCATGTGCTAAGAGAGGTCTCTTCTTTGGAAGGGGGCCGCCAGTCTGTGTGAAGTAGCGGCTATGAGGAGGCTGGGCTCATGGGAGCTGAATCTACGCCAAGCGTCCCGCGAGCTTCCTTCCGGTCCCAGACACGCTAGCAATGGAAAGTGATCGTGTGCAGTGAAGTTCCACTTACTCAGGTTCTTTGCGCCATAATAATCGTCACTTAACCCTGGGAAGTCCTGATTCACAGCCAGCCAGAGGGGAGAGGAAGGGGAGAGAAGAGACCAAGAGAAGGAAAGAGGAAGTGGGGGAGAGAGACAGGGCCAGGACAGCATTAGTGACAGGAGTGCAGAACGGCTGAGAGCTGCAACAGCAAGTGAAGTTAAAGCCCATGACCAACTTTTCCTAAGATCTTCTGTCCCCAAAACTCCTCATTTGAGCATGTTCTCTAGAAGGTAAGACAGGCCAAACTTGCTCCAGAAGAAGCCCAGAGAGCAGACACCAAGGCAGACGTCCCCAGCTGCCTCTGGGCCTCTCTGTACCAGGGTCGGCAGCACCGAGCAGAGCCCCTTGTTCCGAGACCAGCTACCCCGGGGCTACTGGAGGGATGTCACTTATACAGAGCAGTGTAGCCCAAGAATCATTCCCCCCCCCCAAATGGTATCTGCTGCTCCCCTCAGTCAATCCACGGACACTGGTCCCCCTCCCACTGCCACAGGAGCTGATTCTTCGTTTATCACCACAATTGGTAAGCGCTGTACTCGCTGGAGACCTCACTGGAGTGACTAGCCTGCAATCACCGTAACCGAGAGCAGGATCGCGTGCCAAAGGTCAGCCTGGCTACAGAGAGTACAGGCTGAGTTATTCTCAGCTCTGATGCTAGTCCTCTCTTCACAGAGCCTCTGCACCTGCCCAGGTCTCAGCAGAGCCCAGCAATCCGGCCTTTTGCACAGGAGTTGCCCTCTCTCGCATCCTAACCCTCGACTGCTTTTCTGGCCAACGGCACGAAAGGAGCACAGCTCTGTGACTCGGCCTCTGCTTCAGAAGGAGAAGCTCTGAAACTCAATCCCCGCGACTTCAGTCACAGGGATCGGAGGGCAGGCAACAAAAAGTCCTGGAAAGGTGCTGGGAGTCGAGAAAAAAGACGAGGCTGAACGGTAGCGTAATGTAGCTGGAGGCAGAGGCCGGTGGCTCTGCGAATGCGGCATGAGAGCATAAAGCTGCCCTTCCAGGAGAGAGAGAGCACACAAAACCTGCTGCTTTTGTAAGGGCATCACTAGTCATTTTGTATAAATTGTGGAATGTGCACAAACCTGCTTATTTATCCGGAGGGAAAGGAGAGGGACCTGCTGCTGTCGGGGAGCCCAGGGGGCCGAGCTCCACCCCAAAGGCATTCGGGGGGGGGGGTGTCAGCTGTAAGGCTTCAGCTCTTGGCTACAGGGAGACTGCTGAGCAAATATGGGGCATCCGGAAGAGCGAAGTGCTCCGGGGTTGAACAATCGTTGCAAGCAAAGGCTGAGACCCACTTAGGCAAGCCAGTCTGACCAAGGAACCCGGGAGGAGCCAGCAGCCTCTTCCGGAGCCAAAGGCTCAGCCGTTCCTTGCTGTAAACCTGTAAAGCTGCCTCTGACCTCGGATGAAGAACCGTTTGGCCACCCATCTGCTCGCAGCCATTAATGGTGACGACATTTCCAGGATCCTGATCAGAGCCGTCCATGAGCATCGTCATTCAGACCGGCTGACGCTCCCCTAGACAGCCCAGCCTCGAGGCAATGCAGGATCCACCAAGCCTCCTAGGTCTGGGGCCAGGACGCTCCCCCCCCCCAAGGGAGCTGCAGGCCGCTCCTCCCTCGCAGCAGCAGCGGCAGCAGCAGCAGCAGCAGAGAGAATCCGAGCAGGGCAGCTGCTACTTACGTTCCTGTCCGCTGCTTTCCTGAGCCAAGTTCTCTTTGCTCTTGTAAAAGGGGAATTTTCGAGAGAGACGGAAACTCTTTTTACGTTTCGTTTTGATCAACTGTGAAGAAGGGGAAGATGCAAGGGGTGCAGAAGGAAACAAAAACAACAAAAACAAAAAGGACAAAAAACAATGGAGTTTAAAGCATGCAAGAAAAATTAAAATGAACAGACAACGGTGATCAATGTCAGGGAAGCTGCCCCTCAAATGAAATCATGGAAATTACATGGAAATGGGAAACGCAAGAGGAAAATTAAGGGTGGAGGAAATGATCTCGAGGGATGGTGGAAGATGACTAACAGTTTTCATTGCCACAATAACAAGGAGGGGCCCCCACGGCCCAGCCTGCTCCCTGGCCCTCCAACAGTTCGTGGAGGAATTCACTGTCCCGGCCTTCCGCAAACTCCTTGAGCTGACCTCGGGGAGGGAACTCAGGTCCTGGACCACGGAAGTGAAGACCTTGGCTGGACGAAGGATGTCCTATCTGGGGTGGGGGAGGGGGGGCTCTAGAGAGGCTCTTCCTGCAGACCGAGACCCCTTGGTTCAACCGTCACCTGAGCAGCACCGGCCAGAGCGCACCTTGCAGGAACCATGCTTGCCATCCCAATTGGATTTCATTCAAGACCCTTCCCTACTTCTCACACTCACACTCAAACACAAACAAGCAGCACTTACCCGGTTGGATTCTATCATCCCTGTCCGAGCATGGAACTTCACCGTTTTCAAGCGCGCCCGTTCCTTTTTTTCCACTCTGACAGCACCAAGAAAAAGAAAGAGCTTTAATGGTGACTTTGATCCCACTCTGACCCCTGTTCCTGCCTCACCGAGATCTTTCTTCAAGAATCTCGTAGAAATTATTGGCAGAGCCGATTCCTCAGGCCTTCAGTGTAAGGTAAAATAGAAGCTCAAAAATCCACACAGCCTCCCTCATCACAAGCAGAATTTTCTTTGCCCCCTGGAAATTCACTGTGCTTGAGAGCAAAACACGAGCCCAGGTCGCCTTGGCCCTAAAGTCCGTTTCTGCTCTTCCTGACAACCCACCTCAAGGAAAGTGACGCAACTGGCCAAAGGTGAGAACCGTCCAGTGAAAACCCACAAGGGCCTGTCTCGGCGGCAGAAGAAGCACTCACCTCTTCTTGCTGGGAATGACTCCGATCTGCTCGCTCTCGCCGTGAGGGGTCACAAGCCTCGCCTGCCACCACTCGTCATCCGAGGCATTGATGACGTGCAAAATGTCCCCATAAGAAAAACTGAGTCCCTGGCTGGGCAAGCAGCTGTCCCGAGTTCGGTCATAGTCAAAGAGGGCCCTGTCCAGGGATAAGGCAGGTTGAGCAGGATGGCCAGAGGGCCCTCCGTTGTCTCCCCCCCCTTCGCCCGGTCTCCTCCCCTTTCTCAAGCTCCCCTTCCTTTGGCCTTGGCCTGCTGCTTGGAAAGGGGGCCTCTCTCTCCAGGTCCGTCCTGGTGACTCTGACTCCTGGCTACCAAGAAGCCCCACCTTTTCTCCAACCACATCATCCCAGCCCTGGCACAGAACTAGGAGGACTGGTGTTTTGCAAGTTCCTCTTGTTGCCACCAGGGGGCGCAATGTTGTCTGCCTCTGCCCAATTAATGTAAGGGTTCACTTCCTGTTCGGCACAAAGAACCCAGGAACACGTTTTGGTGTTTGAGGCTAGATCAGGCCTTCCCATCTGGCATAACAAGCCTTGTAATTACCACAACCAGCAGCTTGTCCATTTCATCAGTTTCAGTTAAATTGTGCCCGAAACTACTCCACCCAAAGGGCTGACTCTCCTCTCCCAGCGCAAAAGGATTTGCAGAGCACTGCCTCAATACGCTGTGCAAGATGGGCTCGCAAATCCTGACTACTCTGCCACTGAAAAGAGAAACTGAGTTGGGGAGGCGTTTGCGAGGGCGGGCCATTCCGGAAGACACCCACCAAAGCAACGAGCCAAGGCATCTCAGCAGCTGGACCAAAAAGGCCGGCACGTATTGCAAGCAGCTCACACCGGGAGTGCAGAGGAGCCCAGCGACCGATGCAGCCAACTGCTTGCTAGAATCTTGCTCAGGGGCAATAGATTTATTGGCTTACTCCTGTCCTCTTGCAGGCACAGAATCGGTCAACGTAGCCCAGAAGAGAAGCTCCAGGGTGAAAAGGAAGCCAAAGGCTGAGATGTCCTTTCCTACGTTGAGGAGATTCGACGGTACTTTGCGGAAGAGGCTCACCCACATGGTGGTCAGTGCATGCCCAACATGCTCAACGATGGTTAACTAAGCCAAGGTTTGCCCAATTCGATTTCAGGGTTCATAGCGCACAAGCAGATCACTTGGCTGGATTTGCTCAACGCGTGTGGCTAAACTGCGCTTGGAAAGTTTTTGATCAAATGGGCCATGTGAACTCTGAGGACCTGAGAATCACAAGTTATCCAAGAGGCCACTACCACCCCAGGCTCTGGAGGCCCCGTGCAACGCCTTGCTCTGGGGTGCAAGACGGCTTCGCTGCCTTTGGGGATGCTGCCCAAAATGGAAGCAATGCTTCAGGAAGACAGGAAACTGCTGAGCCACAGGCAGAGGTCATGCAGTTAGAATTATGACGACTGAAAAATGCCTAAACTTTGTTGTAACCAATTAAAACCAAAGGGTCCTGCTAACTAGGCTTTAACACATCGGCATTCTCAGCAAGTGGCACCACAAGGCCCCTTTTTCTGGGGGAAGAGGATTAGAGATCACATTGAATGCAGCACAGTAACAAAAAAATTAATCTGAGGAGGCCCACGTGCCCTTCAACGCCCACAAAAAGGGTCATTTTGCATACCGGACATAGAGGGACCGCTTCTCACTTGTCCGAAGTGAACCAGACCCTGAACTCATGCTGCTGTTCATCATCTGCTCTCGGAGGTCATGGATCTTGGACTCAAAGCGGCTGTACTCTGCAAACACAAAGGAGGGCAGGTTGGGGGCTGTTGCACAGGCAGGTCCCCTTCAGTTTGGCACAGCGGAGTCTCTACCTTTCACACACAAGGGACAAGAAAGCAGCCAGCCAAAGCCCTCTCCTGTGGAACTCCCCCTCCGTGCACTATTTACCTGCCAGGCCCTGGGCCAAATACGCTGCATACCTGGACACAGGTGTCAGCCTTTGAGAACGCCAGGGCTCACTGAGGCATGGCAAATAGGCTAAGGAGGCAACTACGGTAACAGGGACCGATCGGATGGTATTCAGAATGCTGCATTTAGAGTAGCATTATGGTTGAGATTACTCCCTCTCAGAAATGCTACTACGGAAGGATGTAGAAAGAGGCAGCTTATTAAACATCTTCCTCACTAAGGTGAGACGGAGCAGGCTGGGTTTACATCAAGAAGGCCACTGAAGAGCTACCAACACAGGAGGAGCATGGAGAGGAGAGACAGGCCTTTTTGTTCTTCTACAATCCCAGAACCCGCCTGAACCAACAAAATTGGCTGATCGGAGGCAGAGGATATTCAAGTAGTATTTCCTGAGACTGACAATAAGCATCTAGCATCAATTACCACAAATATTTCAATGGCTAAAGATGCTGTTGTGTTTTAAGAGAGTTGGCACAATTAACAGTAAACAGCAGTTCAAAAGTCCATTAACGGCATCTGGCTCTTGGGTCTTGTTGGAGATAAGATTACAGTAAAATTAACAGAGCTATGGTTTAATGCCAAAAGTGCTTGAACTGTTTGAAAACATTCCTAAAGACACTGGAAAACATGCACCGATGGCGCTCTATTAACCTTCCAGGCACTGCATTTGCAAGCATCCAGATTATGCAAGCAAAGGGTTATATAAACACAGTCTTGGGTTTACCATTTACTTCAAGGTTATGCCTTTTCCATAGCACATCTTCATGCATTATGTATACTGGCTTACGGTTAAACAACATTATTACACAGAAGCTTGCATAAGGTAGAGGTGGCTTATTTTGAGAATTTACAATTTAGTAAGATCAATGTGCAGAAGACCTTATAAAATCAAGTCCCCACAAACAGGAGACTTTCCACGCTGCCACCAGTTAGAGAATTTCTTGTTACTTCCAGCAGCAGTAATTCTGCTCCAACAGCAGAAAAACACCTTCATCACTTTCCAAATTTCAGATTAATAAATAATAATAAAGGAACCCCAATACAGCATTAAACTTTGTTAGTAAAATGAAACAAATACTCTCTGCTGGAAGTTTAAACCAGGTACACTGAACATGATTTCTCTAAACTCAACAGTTAAAAACAAAAGCAGGAAAACTGTTGTCTGTTTTGCTAGGAACTTTTATCCAATCCTTCCATTTTGGCCTCTACGTGCATTGCCTATAAACTCTGAAACTCCGAAGGCTAAAAAACATGGAAGTTAAAAGCAAAGCCCAAGTATGTAGTATTATTATTTATTCCAAATGCCAATTTATTTGATTTTATTACAGGATGCCTGATTTAATTCCTTCAACCCTAGATGTTCATTTTAAGGTGTATTTTATGCAGTTGAGTCATTTTTATCATTTGTTGGGGTCCTTTGTTCACATGCTCCAATCTGATTCTTCTTGATTGCTTTCTTATATGTTGCCTTTCTTCCAGAAAACTCTACCTTCTCCCCACTCTCGTTGTGGACCCCTCAGTCCTACAGGCTTAGAAAGGTATGTTTTTATTTTATTCAGTGAGCTGCTCAATTGGCAAGGACTCAGCCACCCACCCCAAGCACCAATATGGATCAGCTTGTGAGCTTTCCGCCCTAACAGCAACCGAGCCGTGACAAATATTGATCCAGTTTTCCAAAGTATCAACAGAGAATGTAGAAATAACATGAGCGGGCTAAGTCAGCTTCAGGAACAATGGATTTACATAAATGTAAGAAAAATCATTGAATATAAACACGCACCATGCTGCGGGCACATATGTGGCTTGACCAATGCTGCAGGAGATTCTACGGAAAGGCAACGATCAGCACCCTGACCCCATTTATGCTCCAAAGTGCGTTTTCCCGTATCCTAAGCCTTCTCCCCTGGACTGAGCAGGGTTCTGAGCCTCCCTCACAGGGTCTTCTTGGAGAGTAAAACTTCCAACCGCTGCCTTCAAGGCTGAGGGCTGCAGGGGGGCAAAGCGGCAGGGACTGTCCCAACCGCCCTCCTCGGGCGGTTTGGAACAGCTAAGCCGCAATCACAGGGGTGAAATATAAACGGATTAAAATGAGAGGCCCTTCTTTAACCTCGGATGATGAAGGGCAGAGATCCCACTGGGTAGCACCCCTTTCCTTTTTAAGAAGGCCCGCACGATCTCCTGAAGGCCTGAAGCAAGGCGCCCTCTAGCTCTGCATCACTCCTGGAGCTCCTGCGAGCCTACTGGCACCAAACGTTTTACATGGCAAAAATTTCCCTTTTTTGCCACGGTCGCCGGCAGCACAGCAGTCCCAAACCCAACGGGTCCCTGCCAAGAGCAGACCTAGCTCTGTCCTCACCTGCAAACGCCACTCGAGGCTGGGTAGATTTCAGGGCAACGGCCTGCAAGGGGAGCAGAGAGCAGCCTCCGGCCGTTTCCTTCCACTGCTTAAAAGCTGCCTCCATGGAGCCCCTCGGCTCAGAGGGACAAACAGAGAGACTGTTTCTGCCCTGCTGCTCGGTGAGATGGCAAGGGCTCAGTTTCCAGGACGGCCTGCTCTGATCAGCCTCTCAGGACAACAACAATGCGGAGCAGTGGGGAGGGGAGAAAAGCACCACCCAGATGGGTAAGGAAAGCAGGCCAGCCTCAAAAGCCAGGGAGGAAACGCTCTGCTAGCAGAAGCTGCACTTTCAGCTGCACTGAAAGGCTTTTTTCTTTGGGGGGGGGGGGAAAGCAGATCACCTGGTGAACCAGCCCACATCTCGCTTGAGTTAAGTGCAGGAAGTTGTCCGACAGGTCAGACCATGGAGGATTGTCTTGAACTAATAAATATTCCCCCAGATTCTGGGAAGCTGCTAACAATATGATCCCAACAGCTACCACCTCTTGGACAGAGCAGGCACAAGGATCTTTCTCCCCCCATTCAGCTCTGCATTGGCCAAGAAACGGCTAAGGAGAGACGGAGGAAGATAACCTGGCTTGTCGAGAGCAACTAACAGCTGGTTACGTCTGCACTTATGTCTGGGCCCTTGGCATTCTCAGGCAGCTTCCCTGTGATCCCATGACTCAAAGGGGGGGGGATTAGAATTCCTTAAAGATTCTTAGAGACTGTGTTGGTGCTTCTGCTCCTCCCTCGCAAGGCTTCTCACCTTTATTACATTTTAAATGTACAGTCAGGTAAGCAGTTTCATGAACTTTGTTGGTAAATGGTTTAATGTTTTACAAATAAATCCTAGTTATTGAACACTTTCAAGGCAAGTTCTGAGAAAAGAAGCAGAGGACTAACATTGCAGCTTATTTTGGGTCAGAGATCAATCTATTCTGCATCCAGAGGTTCTACAAACTTAAATGTGTTTCCCGTTTCTGAAATTCAAAACAAGTTCAAAAACGATGGTGGTGTCTTTACTTATATCACCAGCAGTATACTTTGTGGATTTTCAGGGCCTCCACTTTACCTCTCGGGACTTTAAATCCATGAGACTATTATTTCATTTCGTCTCCCACAATTGTACAATAACACTGATCGTTTTCCACACGTTTATAGTATTTTATGTGAGCCAAAATCCCACTCTCTTATAGATGTTTCCATGTAAAACCCGGTTTGTACCCACACTGCTAAGCCCTCTCCTTAAAGAGTGCACATTATACAAGTGTCAGAGCATGCAAAGTCTCATGACAAGCAGGAATTGACCGTACCACATTAACCACATTGGTTAACTCAGCTCATTCTGGTTAGGAAGATTAATCCCCTCTTCCTCTTTACAGTTATCAGCATTTCAATTGCGAGTTCCACACAGCAGCAAGTCAGAGAGAAAGTAAGCCAAACCAAGCAAGAATTTCCTACACACAAGACATCCTTTCTCAGGGACACAGAATGAAGAGTCGTGCCAGTTGTCAGACAGGACTATTCATTCCAGGAGCAGAACAGGTAATCTGTCAGCTTCACGCTGGTCCTTTCTGAAATACGTGCAAGATTCAGCCAGACCAAGCAAGTACTATTTCAGCCACAAAGCTCAAAAGGCAGCAAGATTTTGTGACCACGATTATTACAGATTGGCAATAAATGTCTCCGAGTCTACACGCAGAGCTACCAAGCGTAATTGTCTGCTGTGCGTAGACTCACATTCATTCAGCCCAGACTAAAAAATTGATCATTCAAAAACTTCCCATGGAATTTGAAAAACGGTCATGCTTGCAGGATATCAGGGCTTTTCTGTCACCATGACTGAGAATCTGTATAATTCAGTTGTCATTGAACTGCAGCCACATTAGCTGGGACTGTTCAACGATGTTTGGAAAGCCACCGATTCTGCTACCTTTTGTGTTGTGTCGCCCTGTTGTATGCAACACAACTCTTCTATCTCCAGCACAGGCCAGCTGAAGATGAGTCGCCTTCAGCTGCCTTAATGAAACTGCTGCCCAAAAGTCGAAGTGAGATTGTTTTCTTATGACTGGCACTTGGTTCTTTTTCCACATTACACTTCGGGCAGGCCGGGATCCTCCCGTTCCACGGTGGGACAGACACAATTCGAGCCAGCGTTGCACCGCGGAGAGAGTCTGGAGAGGCCGATGGGGAGGCCGTTGCCCGAATGTCCGTTATCGCAAGGCCCCCTTCCCCGAACAGTAGCCAGCCCGAGCATGGAAGCTGGGCCGGTCTCGTCGCCCCGGCTCCCAGCCCCGGAGCACAGACCCCGCCGGCTCCCGCTCGGGCACCGGACCCGAGAGGCCGCTTTCCCACCCGGTCAGCGAAGGGAGGCACCCGCCGGGCTTCAGGCGCCGGGCAGCTGGAGAGCAGCTGCTCAGCCCCGCCACAGGCTGGGTGTCTCTCGGCACAGGCGCTGCAGGCGGGGGGCCCCCGTCGCCTCTCGGCCGGGCCGGCCCGGGGAAGAGCCTCGGCCTGCCCGCCCCNGCTCAAGCCCGCCCCGCCCCCGCCCGGGAACAGCCGCGGCTCTCGGCGGCCGCGGGGGGTCGGAGCCCGGCTGGAGCGGGAGGCGCCCGCGGAGCCCGCGAGGAGGCCCGACCCGGCGCCCGCTCACCTGCCCGCCGCCGCCCGCGCTCCCGGCAGCCGCCCCGCCTCCCCGTCCGCACACAAAGCCCGGCCGGCCGGTCGGTCGCCCGGGCGGGAAGAACGAGGCGCGGCCCCGCGCTGGGCTCTGACCAATCGGCGCTCCGCTCCGCCCGCTGTGCCCAATCGGATTTCGCGCTGCCGACCCGCCCCTCCAACCCGTCCAATCGCCGCCCGAACTCTCTCGCAGTGGGTGCGGCCCCACGCTCCGAGGTTGGCCCAATCGCCGCCGCGCTTCGAAGCTCGGTGCCTCCACCCCGCGCGCAGGCCACGCCCCGAGTTTTTCTACGACAACGTCCTTCTCGGCCAATCGGCGGCCGCGCCGCCCCATCGCTGCGCGCCGATAATCCCCGGGTAACCCCAGGCAGGCTCCTCATTTGCATACCGAGCGCCGCCCTCGCCTACTCGCTCTCTGCCCAGCCCCGACGCGCGTTAACGCGTGCACACGACGCGCAGGAAGGGGCAGCGCGCAGCGGGAAAAGAGCAGCGGAAAGCTGGCGCTGCTGGGCTCGGGGGGGGGGCGCGGCTCCCGGTGCCCTGCTGGCCGGAGGAAGCCCCCCGGGACTGCAGCCCAGGATCGCCAGCTCTCTGCCTGCCACCGCCTGCTCTTGGGCAGGGCCTGGCCATCCCGGTGAGCTCAGCAGAGCCAGCGGGGGCAGCACTGGGCACCGGCGGGCGCCGCTCCAGCACCGAAGCAAAGCTGCCCTGGAGGGGACCCCTCCCCCCCTACAGGGCCGGCCTCGGGTGGCTCTGCCCGACCCCCCCGAGAGAAGGGAACCGGGCAGGAGGGGATGGCAGCCAGGCGCCGGGCAGGAGCAGCCAGGAGGCTCTGCCACCCGTTTGGCCCAGTCGAGCCACCCACCCAAAGCCGCAGGCTTCTTACCTTCAGGCCTGTACTGGGCCACGATGGTGACGGTCTGTCCGGCCCTCTTCAGGGCCGCTGCCGCTTGTTCATGCGTCGCATTCCGGAGGTTGACGCCGTTCACCTGGCAAACAGACCTGCCCGTCAGCTCAGTGGGAAGGCAGAGCTGGGCACTGGCACGCGGGCCTCCCCGGACCCCCCCCCCCAAAGCCTCCAGCCTCAGGCCAGGCACTGAGCTGTGGCAGGGAGCATGCGCCTGACCTGATGAAAAAGAGCCCCCTGTCCCTGGAACCTGGGGGGGCAGCCTGCTTGGCGAGGGCCGGGATTCACCCGCCTCCCGCAGGCTCGAGAATCCATTTATGCGGGAACCTCGGCACTGTTTTCCCCTGGCCAAGCGGAAGCCAGCTTCCTCGCAATGGGGCTGGGCTAACCCAGGCCGGACCGGTTGGGTGAGCTGCTCTGCCCTGCCCTGCCTTGCCCTTCCCTGCGTGGGCCAGCGGGTTAACTCCTTAGTGGCTGGGCAGATGGGCCTATCTGCCCCCCCCGGAGAAGAAGGCCCCCGCTGGCAAAAGCACCATCTGCCCCCCCCCCGCTGCACTCACCGACAGGATCCGATCGCCACGCCGCAGCTCCCCGCTCAGGTCTGCTGGCCCCCCGGCCAGGATGAAGGAGACGAAGATGCCCTCCCCATCCTCGCCTCCCACAATGTTGAAGCCCAGGCCGCTGGAGCCCTTGTGCAGGGAGATCTTTCGGGGCTCCCTGGTAGGAGGAAGAGAGGGGCAGCCGTCAGGGTTGGGGGGGACAGAAGCAGCTGGGGCTTGATCCCAAGATGGTGGGTGTCAATCAGCCCCCCCACATTCACTCCAGGGTTGAACTGGACCCCACATTTTGGGTAAAGGGAGCTTTTGGCTGGTCTGCTGATGCCCGGAAGGAGCACAATGGGGAGGGGGGAGAATTGGGGAGGGTCAGCTCCTGTCCTTGGAGCTCCCCCCCCACCAAGCTTCTCCTGGCTCAACCAGCAGAAGCCATCCCATGTCCTCCTCTCCAGGATGTTTCTCTACCCCCCCACTTCGCATGCCAATTAGCTCTGGAGGGGTCTGCACGTCTCCCCAGCCAAGACGGAATCAAGCCAAGGACAGCATTGCTGACCCACTCAGACCCAGACATCCACGACAAGCCTTGCAGAGCCCCCCACCTGAAAGCACAAATGGGGGGAGCACAATACCGAGTCCCTCTTCGACGCAGGCTGGCAGACTGTGGTGGGGGGGGCTGCCTCCCGCAGGACATGGAGGAGGAGACGTTGACTGTGATCATGGTGGCTGCGTCTCTGGGGCGGGGGCCGGGCAGCCTGCCTTTTATCTGCACTGCCCCGCCCTCCCCTTTCCACCCGGCAACCGGGGCTGTCAGACCCTTGAGATGATCCAGATGCAGGCGCTGCCCAGGAAGCTGCCACTGGCCTTAACTCTTCCCTCCCTCTGGGCACCCGCCAGGCGGGGGGAGGAGGGCTCAGCCAGCTCTGCAGAAGATAGGCTGCTCGACAGAGCCAAGAGCAGAGGCCCTTGGTAGCAGGGTTGGGGCACTCAAGACTGCCAGGGTCCTGGCCGGGAGGCTTCATGTGCCCATTTGCCCCTCACCTATAAATCGCAGCCTGCTTGACATTGGGCTAGGGCATTCAGTGGGCAAGGGGGCAGCCCCTTGAACTGCCCCTTGCTAGACTCTATTTCTACCCCCATGCTGGGTTTCAGATCAGGGCATCGACTGCCAGCCTTCCTCTGCCTCATTCTGATTAGTGCCCTCTTGTGGCCACGAACCAACACTGCCAGTGGTCAGGTGCCCCAGATAGCGCCCCTGGAAGCCGGCTTGCCTTGGCCCTTCCTGCCCCCCCAATGCCAGTCTCTGCCCTCTGCCAGCCGAGCCCTCGTCTTGCCTGTCACCAGCACAGAAAAGGCCGGGCCGCGTGTTCGAAGGCTTGTGCGAAGGCTAACTGACCCTCCCCAGATCTGCCCCTCCAGCCCCCCCCCGACTCTCCAGCTGTGCCAACAGGCTGCCTGCCTGCTGAGGGCTGCAAGAGCCTGGCCAGAACGACCCCCGGCAGCAGTCAGAAAAGGCAGGACAGCACGGAAGGTCTGGTGTCAAAACTCAACAATCACAGATCCTCCGTAAGAAGTTGGGCTTTCAGCTTTGACTCCCCCCCCACCTCGCCTCGCCTCGGGGAGAATCCTGCCTCCTGGTGTAAAATCCCAGCCCCTCTGTGCACCAGAGGCAGAAGGGGGAAAGGCGGAAAAAGCCCCGTGGAGGGAGGGAGACCCCCCCAGCCTTATTTGTTGTTGAACCCAGCAGGACCGCCCGCTCACCTGGTGAAGTCCTCCTCTCCAATCAGGTGGCGGGGCACAGGTGAGTAGCGGGCAGGCGTGACCTGGGGGGGAGCAGGGTAAGCAGGCTTGCTCTCCATGCCTCCAAGGTAGCCTAGGCCAGGATTATGGCTTATGTGGTTGTCGGCCAAGGCAGAAAAAGCTAGGGAGACAAAGGGGGGGAGAGAGACCAGGCTTAGCCTCCGCTGCTCTTGGGTGGCCTCCCCCTCGGCTGCCACCCAGACCCCTCCCCTCTGAAGAGCCAGGCTCTCCTCCCCGAACTGGAGGGGGGCAGGGCAGGGACATACTGCTGGCGTAGTCCGGGGGCGCATACAGGTCGTTGATGTGGGAGCTGCCTGGCTTGGCCACCTTCAGGTACACCATATCGGAGGTGTTCTTGAGAGCAGCCACTGCTTCTTCATGCCGCACCTCTTGTAGGTTGGTGTTGTTCACCTGGGAGAGGGAGGGGAGGGAAAAGAGAGCTCTGGTACGCTCTGAATGCCTGAGCAAATCGAGAGACCCCAGGGGGCTCCAAAGCCCACCTGCCTGGCTCAGTTTTCCACAGTGGCCACTCTGAAACTCAAGAGCCTCCGCAGGTTACATCCCAACCAATGATGCTCAAAGATAGACTGCCTCAGAATACGGAGGATCCATGCCTGGCAATGGCAACCAGCAAATCAACCTGCAGGTGGGCTGGGCCTCAATTCTGTGTGGTACCAGAACCAGGTATAACAGGAAGACATGCTTTCTAGCCAGGAACCTCTCTCTGCGAGGCCCCTGACCTCTGTGGCATGGCCCATCGCAGCCCGTAAGGGAAGCGGCGCTGGCTACTCACTGCGAGCAGCCGGTCCCCGATCTGCAGCCGCCCGTCTTTCTGGGCTGCGCCCCCTTCGATGATCTTGGTGATGTAAATGCTGTTGTCGCCCGGGATGTGCTGGTTCCCGATGCCCCCCGCGATGCTGAAGCCCAGCCCTGGAAGAGGGAGCATTGCCTGCGCTGCATTGGTGGGGGACGTCCCCCTTTCATCAGGCCCGCCTTAACGTTCCTGGGTGCTTCTCAGCCGTTGGCCGAGAATGGCGGTGCCAAATGCCCCACAAGGGGGGGCACTCAGCAAAGGGCTGGGGGGGGAACCTTTGCACTGAAAATGGCCAGCAGTGCGGAGGAAGAACAATGAGGGAACTCGGCTGGGGTCCTTCTTCTCCCTTAGGGTGGGGGGCTCCTTTACAGGAGCATGGCCAGCCTCACTGCAAGAACTGGGGGCTAAGCTTGAGGTGCCCCCCCACTGTCCCACTCTGCAGGGCTGTGAGATATTCTCCTCCCACAGCTGGAACCAGCCGTGCACTTCCAGGCAGCAGCTTCTCCTGAGCAGGGGGCTCGTGAGCAGCTCGACCAGGAACCTCCACAGCGCCTGCTCTGGCCAAGGCACCTTCCCGGCCAGCAGCAGCTCTGGTGGCCCCCAACAGCCAAGCCCAGCCCCGCTTGGTAGCACCCCAACTGAGTCTCTGCGAGCGTAAGCTCCAATGGCAACTGGCCCCCAACCCCCGCCTCTCACCTTTGGGCCCTTTCATCAGGTTGACCTCCATGATGGTCTCTGGCGGGGGCTGCCTTCGCCTGACCAGCAGCCTCACCACCGGCCCTGCCTCCTTCAGCGCCTCCACGGCCTTGCTGTGTACCACCTCTGAGACGTCCACTTCATTGACCCTCAGCACGCAGTCGTTGACCCTGTGCCACGGAGCAGGGGGTGAGGGAGGAAGGGCCAGCCCCAGAGCCCCTGCCCATCCGGGCAAATCTCCCAGCCCTGCTCCTCCTGGTCGCACCTTCCCCATCTGGCCCTGCAGGGTTGGGGCTGGGGACCTCTGCCACCTGGCACTCACCCCAGGCGGCCGTCCATGGCAGCCGCTCCACCCGGGATGATCTTGGTGATGAAAATGCCAGGGTCATCGGGGATATGGGGGTTATCGGTGCCACCAGCAATGCTGAAGCCGAGGCCAGAGTTTCCCTGCAAAGAGACCCGATGTGAGCTGACCCTCCCCCCAAACAAGGAGCAGGAAACCCAAGAGGAAGCAGAGAGCCTGGGGGGCAAGGAGGGAGAGTCCCCTGGGAAGACAACGCTTGTGGCAGACCAAGCCGGATCTCCCAGCCTCATCGGCTCTGTCCAGGAGTGGGACAGGACTGGAGACCTCAGTAAGCTCCATCTCTGAGGACCACGGCAGAAAAGAGCCCCCCTGCATGCGCCAATTTTGTGCCAGGGACGGAGGGCTTGGATGACTGGAGAGAAAGGCCGGACAGGGCAACTCACCCGCTCCAGGACAATCTCCTCGTACTTGAACATTCCGTCGCTGCCATTCACCTGGGGGAGAGAAGGAGGTTCCAGGAGCCCAAAATAAAGGACCCGGGCAGCAAATCACTCTTGCATGCCTGGCACAGCGAGCCCAGTGGCCAAAGACCAGCCTCGATGCCAGCAAACATCTCTCCTGATCCACGTGGATCGAAGCAGATGTGCCACGCGGGCCAGGATCAGGCAGCTCGTGGCCGTGAAGCAGGAGAGGGCTGGAGAAAAAAGGCTGCTGGGCCTCAGAAGTCTTTTGCTCACTGAATCCTCTTTGAGGATCACAGTGAATTATCGGGCAGTTAAAACCAGATTCTGCACAAATTCAGATGCTGATGAAATAAGCCAGGACATTGCACTGCCACGCCGGTGCTGCTTATTTCAGGAGCTCCAGGGTTCTCACAACCCCAGATCCCTAACTGGTGGCCCTGCTAGTGTCCAAAGTGCCTAGGGAGGCTGACAGGCTGCACAGAGATAAGAAGCCTGCAGAGTCAAGGTGAGGAAGCCAAACCCTCAGGACGTGATGAGCACTGAAATGCATATTGTTTAGGCAGGCAGGAACTGAGCAAGGGACCCAGCCCGCCCCCCCCGCATATTCCCCAGGGAGCTTGTTTGGGTCACCCTCTCCAAGAGCTGGCAGGCCCACTTGAGGAGAGACCTCTGCCATCGATCAATCCCACCCCCTACCTTAGGCTCCAGACAACGGAGTCCACCCAATGGGCAGCCAAGAAGGGCCGCTTCCTGGAAGTGAGCAAGACCCTCTGGAGAAGGCAGGGACTCTAGCAGAGGAGGCAAACTTACGGAGAGGCCGGGCTCCAGAGTGTCGGTGTTCACAATAATGGGTGAAGGGCTGGCCTGGAAGAGCAAAACACACCCGTGTGAATTGAGCTGCCCTCGGCAGGTTCTCTGTGGTTTCTCCACTTGTCGGGGGGGGGGGAAATCCTTCGTAGGGCTCCTATGAAGGGGTGTCCTTTCCATGTGTCATTTCCAGGACCGGTGCCCCTTCTGTCCCAGCCCCCCATTATCCAGCTGTTTGCCAACCAACCCAAAACTTGCCAACTCTAACATGATTTTTCCTCTGAGTCACTGATTCCTCTGATCTGGAGTGTCTACTTCATCCAACTCCCTAATCTTTGGCAGATCCTGGACAGATCCAGAATCCAGGGATTTCTCAGGTTACCCAGGAGAAGGGATGAGAAAGAAAAGATTTCTTCATTTTTAGCAATATTTTCATTTTTTTGTTTTCTACCAACTATCCCTCAGGAGTTAACAATGACCACAACAACTAGATTTCAATGATAATTTTAAAAGTGCAGTATCGAATAATGAAGCCCAATTAATAAATTAGGCAGAGAATCGTTTTTATGATAATTGTTTAAAAAACCCTTGCTTTTGACAATAGATCAAAGGTCTGGCCAAATAAAATGGGGTTTCTGTCCATCCTGCTTCGAGAAGAGCGTCCTGGTCTCACAGTCAGTCTTCAGTCCCCCCAGCCCACGGCCCTCCAACCCCAGAATGGCAGTTCCAGTTTTGGGTTTTGTTGCTTGGTGCCAAGTTTGAACTTGTAAAAGAAATACTCAAAACAGGAAGCTGTTGCCAAAACCCGAACCAATGGCAGTCAACAATTATGAATCCATTACAAAAAAAACCTAGAACAGTTGTGCTGAAAGCCAAAATCTGTATAAAGACAAACATGCTCAAGAAAATGCAAATTGGGAAAACAGAACCCATAAAGAAAAAGATGATTAAATGATTAAAAGAAAAGAAGGGGAGGGGCTGGGGGGAGAGAAATACACACCTGACACCAAGTGACATCCCTTTCACACGAGGTTCCTTTGAAGACCTTGAGAAGCCCAGTGGCTGAGTCTCTCTCTCTCTCTCTCTCTCTCTCTCTCTCTCACACACACACACACACACACACACACACACACACACACACACACACAAAAACACCTGTCGGTCCAGCCATCCACCCATCCTGCAGGTTACATTGTTGCTTTTGGAGCACAAACTAATAAAATGATTCAGATTTTTATTTTAATTGGTTAATAATAAAATAGAATATTTGTAGCTCGGGTTGACACGAGGGGTCCTTGGTGCTCTCTGAACTTGCTTTCTTGCAGACATTTCATTACTCAAACTAGCTAACATCTAGCATTGATGACTAGCACTGATGAAACGCCTGCAAGAAAACAAGCAAGCTTAGAGAGCACCAAGGACCCCACAATCATCATCTCCTCCTCCTTCTCCTCCCTTCTAGCACTGAGGATGCTACCTAGTTCGGGTAACGAAACGCCTGCAAGAAAACAAGCAAGCTCAGAGAGCACGAAGGACCCCTCATAACTGGTTAATTTCACGGCCTTCCCTGCAGTTTGAATCCACCTGCCTGTTTCCCTATAGCGCCCTGGGGGCTCCGCGCCTGGGGCCTCGATCCAGCGCTCTCCCCAACTCGGGCGTCCCCAGGTGCCCCGCCCCCCGCCCCGTTTCCCCAGGCGTCGGGAGCTGTCCAGCACCGGCACCTGCTGAAGTGGGCAAAAGTGGGCTCCAGCTCTGTGTGAGGACGGAGGCAGCCCCACCCCTCCCGGCCCCAGGGGATCAGCCCTCTTCCCAGCCTCGGCCAGAGCCACTGCCAGTCGGAGCGGGCATCTGGGCTTGACCGCCTGGGGCGGATTCAGCCAAAGGCCAACATGCCAGGAAACAGAGCTGCCTCCATATCCACAGAAAAGAGCTGAGGGGGGAGGGAGCGCTGGATATCATTGACTCGGGTTTTGCCCTTCAGTGGAAGACATTTCCGTCGAGGGAGCAGTCGGCCTGGCAGCCCCCCCAGCCCCCTTCCTTTGCCTCCCATTCTTCTCGCTCCCCCCCTCTCTACAATGCCTGGGGTGCACTCAGGATCCCACAATGCTCGCTTACCAGCCCAAATGGCTTTCCAGCCAAATGAACCCCTTGTTCCCAGTGGGGACTCTGAGCTGAAAGGCTCTCTGTGGGGCCAAGAGGAGGGAGGAAGCAGAGCTGAAGCAGTCCCGAGGAGGAAGGGCAGCCCACCCGATCCTTGGAATCCCAGATCTAGGCTGGCCAAGATCCCCAAGCAAGCTGTGGATGGATGGTCTCCCTTAGCAACATCCACTCAGTTATTTTATGCTTCGATCCCCCCCCCGCGCCCCCCAGCCCTGAATAAAAGCAGATGGAACGAAGCAGAGTCAAGCACAGGCTGAACAGCAGTAAATAGAAAACCGCACGAGAAATGAAATTCCAAACCAAATCAATAGAATTTCCCAAAGGGGCCACACTTTAAAGACAGATTCAGACAGCCTGACAACCTGGGTGTCAGGGAACAGTCAGGTTGGTGATGGGAGGAGAAATTCAGCCCTCCCACAGAGATTGCGTGTACTGACTATGGTCAGCACCAACATAAGGACCATGAGCTGGGTCTCCGAGGCCGGTCCATGTGATAGGACGGGCCTATTCTCCACCACCCCAGAGAAATTACTATGCAGAATATTACCTATTGTACTCTTTATTTCCTAGAAAAAGTGATAGCAAGGCAGGTTTCATTGGAACAGAAGGAAAAACCTATCAGTACTAATAGTGGAAGCAGTGAGTAGTTGTACACCGAAATCCATTTCCCAAGGAAAGGATGAGCCACTCTAGGCTGGCCATTTATGAGACGCTGTGTAGCCACTGGTCAGGTGATGAGAAGACCCCCCCCCCCGTCAACATCAGGCAGGGATCTCCCCAACCAAGGAGGCTTTTCCAGTCGACCTCTGGCTACCATTAGGCAGTGGGGAGAAGGGAGGCCTCCAAAGCTTCCAGAAAGAAAACTCACAAGGGCTTGTCAACCCAAAGTCACTGCCTTCCAAAGCCAAGCCAGCTTCCTACTCTGCTGGCAAACTTCCTGGAGCAGGTAGCCTGGCCAGAAGATGCCGGGCCGCCATTCCTCAATCTGCCTGGCTTGCAATGGCCCTTTCCCATAGACTGGGGAACGGCACAGCTCCACTCCGCCTCAAGGCACCCTTGCCTGCATCCCTTGTAGATCTAGGATCTGCCCCTGGAGGTTGCTCTAGGATCTGAAGACCCCCCTCTGTCTCACAGGTCTACTCCCCAAACTCTGCCTTTAAAAGGTGGTGTGACCCCATTATCAGTCTCCCCAAAAGATCACCCTGCCCAGGGCCAGCGGGATGTTCTAGGATGGCAAACCCTTGACACTAAACCTATCAATAAATGAGAAACAGAAAGATTTCCTGATGGGGTCAATGTGGATCAACAAGGTTTGGTTCCAGCATATTACAGCCCCAGCCTAAAGATCCCACAAAGACTGTCTCAGATGCACAAACAGTTCCCACTAGAAGGACCCACAGAACTTCAGGATCTCTGAAGATGGTTGATTGCTATCGCTGGAGGCCTTCTATGCGGATACCTGGGTGGGAGAAGAAGGTGCCCTGAGGAACACGCTCTGGTAGGAAAGGACTACCATAGCACACCTGTGGAAAACAGGGGGTGCAAAGGGGCGGGGATGGGCATCCTATTGCAGAGCCCAGAGAAAAGCACAGGCGATGCTGGAAACAGCTACAGCTTCCCCAACCTGCCTCTCTTGGCTGGGAAGACCCTAAAAGCTGCCGTCCAGATTTGTGCAAGGGACTGAGAGGCAAAAATCCCCAGGAAGGACCCCCAGCGATCGACTGGCTGCCCTGACTGGCAGGTTAGAAGCACCAGGAAAGCCCGGCTCACAACGGTTTTCCCAAGGAGGCTTCCTTCCTGGGGCCTGGGGGGCAGGTGCTCGGAGTCCCTAGGATGGAGGGGACCCGGGAGAAGCCCTCTACTCTCAGGGCTCCACATACTAAATGCCAGGCAGCTGAGCAGGGGGGGCGCGCAGGTTTCCGTTCCCTCTGAGTCATAATGAACGCCAGAGCAACTGGCAGACATCCTGCCTCGCACAGAACAGGCAGAGCATCCCAAGGGGAGCCAGGGAAAGNCCCCCCCCCCCCCCCCCCCCCCGCACCCTCCTCCGCCTCCACCTTCTAGTGCCAGGATGAAGCTCCCTCCCTCCCTCTCTGAATAGAACATGAGTAGCCATAGCAACCTCACCCTGCCAACCTCCCACCTCCAGCTTCTCGGCCCCATCCTCTCCCTCACTCTCCCCCCATTGCCTCAGGAAACCCACCCACCTCTGGGACCCCCACAGCCCCCCTGCCCCACCCGCCCACCCTCAGCAGGGCACCCCTCGGCACACCGCACCCACCCGGCCCTTCTTGTCCCATTTTATCCCTCGTCACCCACACTTTTTGCCTCAGGCAACCTCCGAGCCCCAACACTGCCCGGCTCCCTCCAGCTCCGCTTCTGCCAATCCTGGGGACCATCAAGCGTCCAGAATGGGAGAACCGAGTCACCAGAACCTAAGGCTGCCTTTCACTTTCCTGAACCACCACCCCAGAAACCCCAAAATAGTGTTGTGATGGACTGGGGAACCGTGCTCTGGCTCTTTCCCGGTGCCCCCCACACCCACACTGCACAACCCTCTCCACACAGACCAGCCATGGGGCAGGAAGGCCCCCCTCCCCACCCCGCTTTGCCATGGCACGTGTGCCCTGTTCTGGGTCACTCCACAGTGGCAACGGGGTGCGTGTTCCTTTATGCCCTGGCTAAGGATTCACTTCACCAGCTCTGGAAAATGATGGGGGTAGAAGGAGGCAGAGGAGCCTTGAAAAGACCCTGCCGGGATGGGGGGGGGTCCTTGGCCTACAAAATCAACCAGAGCAGTCTGGTCTCCCCCAGGCTCTGCCAATTCCCCTCCAGTCTTGTGGAAACTGACACCAGCGACAAAGTGGGGCCAAGAACAAGTGGCCTGATTGCCCCCCTCCCTTCAGGCCAGGCCCTCCCCAAGTGCCAGAGAGCTCATCATAAGAGGGGCCAGGCAACCCCACAGAAGCATATGCACAGATAGCAGGGCCATAGGGAGGGGGCAACCTGGGACAATGCCCCACCTCCCTTTCTGGCCCTACTAAAGACAGCCCCCCCCAGTAGACGCCATGAGGGGCCATGCCAGTTGGCCAGGCGGGCAGAGGGCGAGCTGCCCCTCACCAGCAGAGGCAGCCGAGCTCAGCGCAAACCCTCCAAAAATCTCTGTGAGCAATTTGGCCTGCCTGGGCCCACTCTCTGAGCCGAGCCCCATCCTCCACAGCCTGCCAGGACCTGTCTAGCTCAGCTTCTGTGCCAGCCCTCCAAAAGGCCACCCCCCCTTAGTTCTCCCAAACCTTTTCTCATCAGACCCCCATTGTGCCTTTTGACCAGCACCGTGTTAAACAGCCAGACCCAGAGCAGAGCCGTTCTTCACTCCAGCATGCGCGCACGCACACACACACGCGCACACACACATATGCACACACATCTTGCCACTGCCATCTTAGGAGAGAGATGTGTATGTACCAATTTCCATCTGACAGCTCTGGGGGAAGGGCGCCCAGCAGCTTCACACACACCGCACAGATTGCCCACCATAAACCCCCAAAAGCTGGCCAGGCTGCATTTGGCAGGGGGCATTAGGGAAGAGCAGGGCCGGTGGTCTTCACAACCGCAGTGCCCGATGCCAAGGCGAGGGGCCATGCCACACAGGCAGGGAAGGCAAAACTGGACGCGGTTGTTCCCCCTCCGCCTGGGCGGCACCCGGGATCCTGCCCCTCCAGGGCTGGGCTGGGGCGAGGCAGCCTCCGGCAACAGAGGCTGGGCCCACTCGCGCAAGACGGGGACCCACCGAGACAGCCTCCATTTTACTGCCTCGCGTGAGGCTCCATCCATTTTCTCCGCTGGTGCCGCCGAGGCGGCTGGCGGCGCGGAGGTTTCCCGATCCCTTTCTGGGCCGGGCCGAAGGGTCCGAGGTCCCCCGACCGCGTTTTATCAGAAGCAGCCCCGCGGGGAAGGGGTGCTGGTGGCCTTCCCTCCCCACGGCCGCGTGGCCCCGGGTTGAGGGAAGGGCGCATCCACGCGCGGACCGCTCGCTCGCAGGGCGGCGGCGGAAGGGCCAGCAGCGCCCCTGCCCGGTGAGGCCTCGGTGCCCGCCTCGCCCGCTCCCCCCTCGCGCCCGAGAAGCGGCACCCACCTGTTCATACCAGTCGCGGTTCGAGCAGGTGCACTCGGGCCACCAGGCAGGGCTGCTGCCGTTGATCTTGGGGGTGCCCGCCCCGCCTCCGCCGCCCCCCTTGGCCGGACCCTGCTTGGGCGGCGCGGGGGGGGCGCTGTCGCGGGCCGTGGGGACCAGCTTGCCCTTGGCCCGGGCCGTGGGGGTGGCGCCCCCGGGCTGCGAGGGCAGCGTCTGCGAGCCGTAGCCCCCGTAGCCGCCCCCGCCGCCGCCGCCGCCGCCGAACTGCTCGTGCTGCTGCCACTCGCCGTAGCTGGGGGGCTCCATGCGCCGCAGGGCCGCCATGCGCGTCACCTCGTAGCACTCCGGGCAGCGGCAGCAGTGGTGGTGCTTGTGCATCTTGCCCGCGCCGAGACAATGACCCCGCCGGCCCCGCGCGCCGCGCCGNGGCGAGGAAGGGGCCGGGGCTGCTGGGGCTGCTGCTGCCGCCGCGGCGGCTGGGGAGAGCGGAGGGGCCGCCGCCGCCGCCGCCGCCTGTGGTCCCTGGACGGGAAAGGGGGAAGGCAGAGCATCGCGCTCGCCCCGCAGCTCCCGTTCGCCGCGCCGCAGCCAATCGGCGCGCAGGGCAGCGGCGGCAGCGCCGCGCATGTTAAGCAGGGGCCCTTAAAGGCGCAGCGGCAGCCCTCCCGCACAGCGCACCGGAGGGGGGTCGGCGGGGGATGCGGCCCGGGCCTCTCCTCTCCCCCGTCCCCGCCCGCCTTGGCCCTCCCCTGCCAGGTAGGCTAGGCAGGGAAAGGCCCGCCGCAGGGGTCCTCGGAAAGGGAACCGGAGCCCCCCCCCCGTCCGTATTCTTCCGGATTCCAGAGGAGCGAGCCCCCTTCCCTTGCTCGGCTCCATCCCACCCATCCGAGACGCAACTGCGATGGCAACTGGAAGCAGAGCCCTTAACCCTCCTTCCTCCCTGCTGACCTACGGCCCAGGGATCTCGGCCTGGGCTTCCCACCCCCCTCCTGCTCTCTGAGCCTGCCCAGCTTCCCAGGATCAGCCAAGGTCGAGAGCGGCTGTCCCTCGCCTGGGCCGGAGCAGGGCTTCCCCCAGGGGCCGCTTTCCTGGCAGCTGTGAGGCATCTGCTACTTCCGGGACCCCCTTCTTCCCTCTTCCCCACAGCTGCGAGGCATCCTGGGGCCAACTAGACCCCACCCTGGTGAAGCCCAGGCCAGGCCAGCCTGCAAAGGCCCTCGCCCTCAAAGAAAGTCCCTAGAAATTTTCATTTCTAAAAGAGCGAACTCTTAGATATCATCCTGGCAGGGTGCCAGCAGCTGTCCTGGAAGTGCAGCTCCCAAACCCGCTAGCCTCAAGATCCTCACTCAGGGGCTGCAAGTGAAACGAGATTCAGAGGCACTTCGACTTTTTGCCACCTCTAACCTCAGATGAAAACTGAATCAAGCGTGGCAGAAGAAGCAGGGCCACCTGCACGGTTCTGTTGCATGAAACTGTCCGGAGAATAATTTGCCTTTCAGAACGTCTCCCATGACCTGGGCAGGGCCAGTCTGCCCACCCTATCCTCTGCATCCCCCTCCCCCTTCAGCTTTCAACTCAAAGAAATGCCTCTCAGAACAGAACCCCCCCCCCAAAAGATCCATCAAAAACGCTAGAAAGCAAGAGGCCGTGAGTTCAAGTCCACCTCAGCCATGAAAGCCGGCTGGGTGAGTTTGGGACAATCCCTCTCTCTCAGCCCAGCTCCCCCAAAGGGTTGTTGTGGGGAAAATGGGAGGAGGAAGTTGGGTTACATAGGTGCACCGTCTTGAGTTATTTGTCAAAGTAATAAAGGCAGGATACAAATAAATAAATAGAAATAAAAACATTTAAAAAGCCTCCAGCCCAGATAGGTTTGTCTTTGGGGCCATTATTAGCCATGCTAGCTCTGCTTCTTAATCAGGAATTGTGGGGTTCCTAGCCCAGCCCCAAACCACAACATTTAGCAACATGGACACTTTTTCTTCTTCCTCTGTAGACCTGGCAGTGCTCCAATCTGTGGCTGCAGGAGGTTGAGAGTCCTCCTCCCCTTAGCCAGACCTTTGAGCGGCACGGGGAGGAGCCAGGATCTGTACCTGAGCCCCACCCCCAGTGGGAGCTTCCCATAAGACAGGGATATTCTTCCCCACACTGGGCACAACGGTTTTGCAGCCACATCCAGAGGGTGGGGATTTGAGCCCAGGGCTCCCTGGAGCTACACTTCTCCAAAACCTTATGGCAGCCCCCATCCTCATTCCAAACAAGTGCTACCAAATATACTGGCTACTGTGACAGAAAGGAAGCATAGTAAATCTTCACTAATGTACCTCTAGTCCACTTCATATCACCATTTTTGCCTGGTGGCTGAACGTGCCCACCGGAATGCCGCTCAAAGGTTGCATCTGCCCCTTCTTTAATCATGACACCGCATCACAAGAATTGCCACCATCAATCCAACACCAGCCGAGAGCACGCCCCAAACTGCACCAGGAATCTCAGCAATGGACCTTCTGGCTTTGGGTAAGCAAGGGGGGGGGAGTGACTCTCCAGGATCCGATCAACTGATTTGTAAATGGGTTTTGGAGGGTCCTGCTCTAAATGTCCCCGGACAAGCAATACAATCCAAACTGGGTGGACCCCTGCACCACATTAAGCCTTGTTGCAGCTCATTTCGCTTCGCTTAGAGAGCGACACAAGCTCCCCCCATGATGTTGTAAACTAGGACGACAGTTTGGCCTGTTCTGTGAACTGCAGTAGGCCACTTTCTATCCCAGAAACCAAACTGAGCCAACTGGCTTAGTAGGATGTGGTGTTCAACGTCTCCCGACAAGTAGAAGAGCGTAATTCCGAGTGATGCAGGAGCTCCTTTCTCAGTCATTCAAAGCAGGGCCCACCATGCCCAGCCCTGGCACCTGGCTGTTCTACCTCCCTGTCAGAGAACAGGTTACCAAGAAAGGACCAGGGAAACTGAGGCAATAAAAGTTGGAAGTAACACCATCTGCAGAGAAAAGCCCCGGAGGGAGAGGAGGGGATCCAGCTGGTTGGGGGGTCCGGCTCTCAGTCCTCCAAAGCACTGGCACAGCGACCTTAGGGCCTCAACAGGGGCCGAAAGAGCCTTATGGGAGACCCAGTCCACCAGCCGCAGAGTCAGTGCAAATGGGGAACTGGTCACCTCTGGGAGCCAACAGTCAGCCGTTCCAAGAGGCCCCAGGAAACCCCTTCTGAGCTCAGGGGAAAGTGGTGAACTGCAGGGGACACAATCTAGCCCCACATCAGTAGCATTTAAACGGACATCCCAAGTCAGATTTCCTTTCAGTGAAGCCTCCACCTATGCTGGGGAGGGGGGCTCCTAGCCCACCCTTCCAGAGCCAGGAACAGCCCAGAGGAGTGAACCCCGCCTCTCCAGGATCTCCTGCCTGTTTCCCTTGATTTTCCTTCCAGGCCCGAGGATGCCAAGTCTAGAAAAATCCTGGTGCTCTGCTGCCTGGACTCCCTGCAGCAGAGGGGGAGAGGCAAGCTGTTCCTTCAGCCCCCCCTACGCTGGGTCCCCTTTCAAGAAGGAAGGTAATACAACAGATTTCTGAATGGCTGTTCCCTCCCCCTCCCACCCACTCACTTCTTAGCCAATCAGCCAGCAAACTGGAATCCCAGCAGCAGAGATTTCTTAAAGGCACCGTTGAAGGCTGACCAAGTTCCCTTTCCAGGCTTTTCAGTTGCTTTCCAAAATGATCCCAGTGTGCCTCTTTCCCCAGTTCTGCAGCCCTTCTTCCCACACAAATGCCCCGATGGCAGGCAAAGCCACGAGGCCAACCTGGGAAGCCAGCCACGTCACCTGGAGGAGAGCGTGCGCACGGGCATGTCTGCCTGGGATACTACCAGGACAGAAGCTTCCCCGGTCACTTCGGACTCTCTCGATGTGTGGGACAGGCCTTCGGAATTGAGTGCATGGAGGCCCCCCCAGGAGGAAGACTGCTGACCTAGGAAATCCTCATCTGGACAGATAATGGCTTCATATAATCCATCTCCTGTAGCCACCCAGTGTTTGCTCGAATAGACCAGCACGCTGCCCCCCCCCCACGAAGAGAGGGTGTGATGCAGAAAGAGTTACTGCTGTGGGCAACCTGTATTGCCCTTTGGCACAGAGGGAAGCTGGAGAACTAAATCCAAACTGCAGGCTTCCTCATCTAGGAATTGAATCAGGGCTCAAAGACCCCCCCCCCGTTATGATCTGCCCCAGGCCCTCCCGTCTCCCTGCTCCCCACAGCCGCTGCGCTTTACCAGGAATTGCCGAGAGTGGAAATGGTGGCAGGGCTGCACGTGGCTGTGCTCCGGGGCAGAGGGTGTTCCCTCCATTTCAGGAGAGCAGCCACATCCTGAGGCCTGAAGGTGACCACGCCAGGACCAAAGGGGGGGAAGGGTGGCCCAGCCCTTGCAGCTGGAGGGGAAGCAGAGAGGAAGCCAGGAGGCCCCCCTCGGCTCCATGCCTGCCCCCAAAAGTCCCTCTCCCTCTTCCTGGGATACAGAGCTGGTCTCCCCTGCTGCTGCCCCGAAGATCCAGCGAGAGCCGCCAGGCGCTGGAGCCACGAGGACAGGATGGAGCTCCTATCTGAACCCACGTGGGACTGGAGGCCCCCAATCCCCCCAAAAGCCTCCTCTGCCATTCCTGCAGCCAACCTGGCTCCACGCAGACGGCAGCTGGGTTGCTAGGCAGCAGCAGGAAGATGTCAGGAGAGGAAAGGAGCCCACGTGAAATCGGCTGCGCTCGTGGCCCAAACCTGGGCTCCCCCCTCCACTGCAAGGAGGCTGTTGCACCGCCCATCACCCCCCCCCCCCTTTTTGACACTCAGGAGGCTGCCGGACACTCCCAGATAACAGCTGACCTTCCAGCATCGCTGAACTGCAAGCTGTGCCCACAATCAAACAAGGGAAGCTCTGAGCAGGCAATTCGGGGGCAGAAGCAGGATGCAGATACGCCCTCATCCTCCACCATCTCCCCCCCCCCAAAAAAAGCTTGACACTGCTGACTTCCAGAACCAGCCTGTCAAAAGACTCCAGGAGTGGGGTTGATGTGGAAACCTTCGTGCAAGATAAACAGCGGGGGGGGGGGGCTTTTAGTTGAGCTTGCTTTGTTTCCTAAGTTTTAGAGCCTCATTTTTTTCTTTAGAGGGGACCCCCTGATGGTTTAAGGGGAAGAGAAAAGCAGGCTGCCCCAAGAGGTCTTAAGCACAACTGGACCCCAAAAAGAAATTAGATTTCCCCCCCCCAACAATTATCCTGCCCCCTCTGAATCCAACTGAGCCCTTTTGCAACCTCTTTCTCATTCCCGGGAGACCCCATGATTCCACAGGAGGCCACGCCCTGCTCCCCTTCCTGGGTTTGCCCCC